TCCCTCCCCCCCTCCCCTCCCGATTTACTAGCTGGAGGCAGCTCTCCATGCTGCCAGCTCTGCTTCATGCTGCACTACAGCTTCGCACAGCATGGGCATTTATTGGCCAAATTATCGGCCCCATTGGGCCAATATCCGATACAGCAATTTTTCTTTATATCGGTACCCATCCAATATCGGACCTGCATATCGGTGCACCTCTAGTTGCGTGCCAGCTTCTTTTTCCCCCCAGTAAGAAGGTTCCTTTGTCCAGGGCACAGCATTTAGAGATCGCAGAGCAGGAATAAAAGGCAACTTTATACCAGGTCCACTTGTCTGCATAAGCTGAAATTTCCAAATGCCTCTACAGCCCAGTGAAATTTGTCTTCTTGAGCCCTTTGCCAATATCATAGTTTGATAGAGTTTTTCTTCTTTAATGCCTTTTACATTCATTCTCTACCCAACACAAGCCCCACAGATGCAGCCTTTGTTCATCCTGTCCATGTATATTAAGAGGGCTTTCTACACAAGCACCCACTATATAAAAATGCAGAGATCACATTAATACAATAGCCTCTGTAGGTCTCAGCCAAGAATAGGACCCCATTGTATTCTGTGCTGTATATATGTACCAAGAGGCACTCCCTGTCCTGTAAAAAAAAAAATCTTATTTAAAATAGACAAGGAAGGATCATCACCCCCTTTTATAGATGGGAAATGGAAACCTTGTCTGTGGCAGGGCCACCCAGAAAAAGCATAAAGCCATCCTTCCTACCTAGCTGAATACACTGAGCTCCTCTTCAGAGGCCGGAGTAAAAGCAAGAAAGTTCTTCACTTCTCCCATGGAGTCCCATTTATAAAATATTTTTTGCCAGAACAGTTCAGCCTTGGATTTCTTCCCTACTTTGAGGAATAAAGTTTACTTCCATACCAATTCTAGCCACTATTCATTGCTAATGGAGCAGCTTAGCAAGTTTAAGGCTTCATTGTGAGGCAGCTGTTTCACCGATTATGGATCAATTCCAACAAGGAGCTCCAAAACAGTGCGTCAGTTTTACTGAATAGTTTACAACCCATAAGTAGGAACAGAGGCACTCGACCACCTTCAGATGCAGCTAAGTTGATTTCCAGTGAATTACAAACTTCAATTAACTCTTGAGCTTAAGACTGATGGAAAAAGTAAACCTGGCAAAGAAGTTCCGACTTTGGATGTAAAGCGTCAGTAACCATGGAGGTTCTTCAGTGTGCCAGTCTGAACTGTCTCGATAAACTTAAGATAGGATGGTGGGGGGAGGGAAGAGGGGGCCAGGATAGTCTCCCAAAGTAAAAAATGCTCTGTATGTTAGATGCCACCTGGAGTCTTTGTTGTCTTTTCTATGAATGACCACTAGTTTTCTATGCCTGACTTTTGAATTTAAGTTAACACTACTGGATTATGCCTAGGTTTGGAGCAGAGCTAGGAAGAGACTGTGCACAACCTCCCTACACTTGATATGGGCATAAGGTAAAATGTACAAGGACTCACCATGAAATTTCTTGTCCAGGATCATCTGTGACAGTTTTCTTTCTACATCAGCCTGAAATTGAAGCAGAGAATCGAAACCGTCTCCTAGAGCTAGCTGAAGAGCAGTGGATTTCACCACTCTACACCAGTAGCCCTGACAGGATACAAAATAGCTGCTTCCAGGTGATTTTTCAACATAGTTCACTAATCACTCTTGGAAGTCAGATCTTACACACTAGCTTGGACACAATAGTACGTTTTAAGCAATGGAAGAAGTCAAAGCAGGCACCACCAGGCACTAGCTTCAATTGAGTAGAGTGCCAAGATGACCCCAATTGAGTAGCGTGCCTAGATGACCCTCTTGCTTCATGGAGTACAGTACAGCTTTTATGTCATACATGCTGTTATCAGCATTATATTAATGCTTTAGCCAAGCTTCACCACAAGTCTGTTAACACAGCAATACCTGCAACTGCCAGCAAATGACCCAGTGGGAGTCAGCCCCTCCCTCCATTTTGCTATTTCAGTAGAGCACATGGCACTTGAAGATAAGGGATGATTGAGTTCCCTGCTCTTACTCAAAATATCAAAATGTGCGCTGGTGTCCAAGAAGTCATCTAGTACAAGAATGCACCATTCAAAACAGTGTACAATGGAAGCGAGTATGCAGCCAGGATCAAGACACTCCGTAATCTGACTTGGCAGCTTTATGAGTTGTTAAGTCTCAGACAATTCAGGGCAAGAGCCCTTTTGGGTGGTACTCAGGCAGGAGAAGTATTATTTACTAAGATTTAAACCAGCTCAGATTATCCTTACTCCAATATGGATAGTTAGCTTTGTGGGCTAAGCAGTTGCTGAGCCAAATTGATACTCAGGAAAACTCCAGCCAGAGGGACTAATTTGGCCTGATGTCTTAGGAGGTGTTAGAGAGCTTGGTTCCAGTAGCTTTATGATAACCATACCCTGAATGATCATTTGCTGCTCGCTCAGACCAACCAAAGCTAAAACCGATTCAACCACAGAAGCTCTAGTATTGCACAGGAAGGGCCTTTGACTCTTCCAAAGAAGCCTTAGCAAGTGGTGAAAATAGCAGGGAGCAGGACCTTGGGTTTCATGGAGGACCTCAAAGGGAAGTCCACGTGCTCCACTATATTACATCACAAACATACATTGAAAAGTATCCTACGTTAATCCCAGCCCTCATGGGGGCTGTTTTCCAAGAGGAATTTGCTCTAATTGTGGAGTTGCCAGCACCTGGAGGTTTAATGTGCCAAATTATCTCATGGTGGTTAATGCCATGACCCCTCAAGTTTCTTGACCCTCTTATTAAGCAGTCTCTCTGATTTCTAGAGATGTTCTTACCTTTGAGAGCTTGATGAGACTGGATATGTGCTCAATCTATAAGAAATCAACAGATATGGGATGCAAGTTTTATTGCTTGCTTTCAGTACAGAATAATGCAGTATAAGGCCTTGATACATGACACCCCTTTACACATGACACCCCAGCCCATCAATACTCTAGTTTTGTGCCCTAGATCAGTTCCTTTACTTCAGAGCTTTATCTCAGACTTCAGACCACAATAATGTTAATAGAAGATGGACAGACCATAAACCAGACTGCTGGATCTCCATTCTCTGCTTAAACATGAAATAGCAGCTGTGCTATACAAATAAGTATTAATTCCAGCCTCAGCAGCACTCCTGGAAGAAACCCTTGAGCCAAAGCATTACTATTGAAGGCATTACAAATTTGCCCATAGGTTAGTATACAGCAGAGAGAGGCTTTCAATAGTTCTGGATGGTTTCCATAAGCCCTTTAAATAACTAACATTTTTCAGCTAAAAGTTACAAATTCTGAAAGTTTCAGGTTATTAAGTGATCAGTAAAATTCAGAGAGATGAGATTCCCTCCAGTGCACAGCAGTTCACTTAGAGACAGCAAAGAGGAATAAAATATCAAGAGCCAGCACTTTGGTATGCACACTGTAGGAAGAGTGCGCGCACATGCGCATGTAAGGGATAGGAGGGAAAAAGACAATGACACAAAACCAATCCAAACAATTACCTGTACTCTGGAAAAGGGTTCAATGACTCTGATCAGATTTTGTTCCAATAAGTTATCATACAGCTTTGCCAAATGTGTATTTATAATGGGATCGTCCCTGAGCTCCACCTTATAGTCTGTTAAAGCCTAGAGAAGACATATTGAAAACAAATAAATTAGCATGAATAGAAGAACTATTAAATCCATCCTTCTGACAAGAAGGATGGTGGTGCAGGATGATTAACACAAGAATAAACTAGTAATACTGGAGGGGTTTGGGTTGTAGCCGTGTTGGTCTAAGGACATAAGCAGACAAGGTTCCTTGTGTGAATGTGATATCTTTTATTAGACCAACCCCCAAATGGTTGGAGAATAGTTATTCCAGGAAGAGCGCACACCAACTGCTGAAGCTTCCTTAGCCTGACGAAGGGTTTTTGAACCTGAAAGCTTGCTTAATAACTATTCTCCAACCATTTGGGTTGGTCTAATAAAAGATATCAAATTCACCCAAGGAACCTTGTCTGCCTAGTAATACTGGGTTACTTTTAGCTAAAGGGCCATTAGGTCACATCAGCCTAATAGCAAGTTGGCTGACAGCTAATATCTCCATCTTTATACTGATAGGGCCCTACAGTCTTTACCAGCAAGCAATCTGCTCTCCTCCAAGAGGTTTGGCGTGTGAGGACAACTTCCTGGCACTGTCTTCCTTTCCCCTCCTCTCTGCAGCATTTTTCCTAGAATTTTCCTAAAAAACTCAGTCTGGGAAGACCTTTAAAAAGGCCATGGAAGTACTCAAGGGAATTCATTAAACTGAATACTGCTTGGGCAGTGGATTTCTCCAGGATCATAGCAGATGTTTACTGAAGATAATGGTGTAGAAGGAATCATGTCAGGAAAAAGAAACTAACCACAGAAATGGCCTTAACAGGGACCTTGAGCTTGGCAGCGTCAGCCCAACTCCAGAAAACACATGTTCACATCTACAGTTTCATATGGTAACTCCCTGCTCAGAAGGCTATCACCAAAGAATAGGAGTGGTGTAGAAGGTCAACTGAAGTGCATTTTACTTGTTGCGAGCAATAAGTTTACAGGGCACCCTACTGGTTAGGACCACAGCTCCGAGTCCCTTTTTACAAGAATTTGCTGCTCCACTTTAACGAGATAATTAGTCAAGGTTTGAATAACAGAAGTTTCTCACTTCTCGTCTATACAGTTTGAATGGTTTATGGTATGTATCCAGACTTCAAGACCTGCTGGGCAAGTTCAAAGGAAAGTAGGGCTGGAAGACACCTCAAAGTCATCTAGTTCAGCCCCCTGCTCAAAGCAGAATCATCCTCAAGGAACTATCCCAGCCAGATGTCTATCCTGCTTTTGAAAGTTTCCAAACACAGAGAATCCACAGCTTCTCTAGGTAACCTCTTCCAGTGCCTGACCACTCCGAGTCAAACTTCCTCCTAATCTTCAGCCTAAATATCCCCAGATACATCTTGAGGCAATTGCTCCTAGTCCTATCCCCTACAGCCATAAAGACTGATATCAAATTCCCACCCTGACTTGCAGTCTTCTCTTTTCCAGGCTAAATAACCCTAGTTCTTTCAGCCTTTCCTTGCAAGTCTTGCCTCCAGGCCCTAATCATTTTTGTTACTCAACACCAGACTCTTTCCAAACTGTCAACTTTTCTTGAAGTGTGGAGCCCAAAACTGAACACAGTACTCTAGGTGAGGCCTTATTAGTGCCGAATAGAGTGGAAGAATAACTTCCCTTGATTTGCATGCGACACTCCTGTTAATACAACCAAGGATATCGCTGGCTTTTTTTTTTTTTTTGCGCAACAAGAGCACACTTGTTGGCTCATAATCAGCTTATGGTCCACTATAATCCCCAGGTCCTTCTCTGCTGAATTGCAACCAAGCCAGTCTGTACTTGTGCATATGGTTATTCTGTCCCAAGTGCAAGACTCTGCACTCATCCTTGCTGAATCTCTTCTAATGGATCCAGACTGGACCATTTCTCCAGTCTAAATCCAAGTCCTGCCCTCCAGAGAATTTGCAATTCCACCCAACTTGGTGTCATCTGTAAATCTGACAAGCTGCACTTCATCTCATTATCCAAATCAACGATGAGGATGTTCAACAATACTGGACCCAGGAGAGACCCCTGGGAAACCGTACTTGATACCTCCTCCCAACTCAACATTGAGCCATTTGAGGACTACTTGCTGAGTACAGTGATCAGCCTGCTACATGTCCACTTTTCAGTACTTGCATCTAGTCTCTATTTTCTTAGCTTGCTAATGGGGATATTGTGGGGGAGAGTGTCAAAAGCTTTGACAAAGACAAGGTATACCACATCCACTGCTCTCCCCCTTTTAACAGTGCCTGTCACTTTACCACAGAAGAAAATTGGGTTTGTCAGGCATGACTTGCTCTTGGTGAAACCAAGCCGACATCCTGATCACCTTGTTCTCCTTAAAATGCTTCACAACAAATTCCTTGGGGACCTGCTCCATGATTGTTCCAGTTACAGAGGTCAAGCTGACTGGTCTCTAGTTCCACAAACCCTCCTTCTTCCCCTTTTAAAGATGGGCACTATATTTGCCCCTTTCCAGTCAAACAGTTGTCCAACCTCCATGAATTCTCAAAAAGATAATCAATGGCTCCTAAATTACATAGGCCAATTCCTTCAGTACATGGTACTTGTTTCTGTTCTCTAATTATTTGTTGAAAAGGCCCAACAACAGCTGCCCAATACTACTGCAAAGCTTGTGCAATTCAAGGGTGACTTTTAGTAAAGATGTTAGTTTCAAGTTCTTCTTTCACACAGCCCCAAGTACCCACACTAAAATCAGGGCATTTGATTCTTCATGCAACCTAAAGTGATTAACCTGATAAACTAAAGCTAAGATTCAACTTCAAATGAATACCCCAGAATATTCTCCTGTTGTTTGCTTGGATCCTTCATGAACAATAAGTTGTATAACTTCTTCCTATACATGAAGTCTACAAGCTCCTGGAAGAGATTGGGGATGCTGAACCAAACCTATGGGCAGCAACAAAGTGGACCAACTGCTGGGAAAGGTCAGATCTATTTCTGCAGTGTTTTATACCAATGCCAAGCGAGTCCCCCACTGGACACAACCTTGACAGAGAAGCGTGGGTCAAGCTGAACAGACTTTGATGTCTTCCTAATCACTCACCTTTTCGAAGTCTGCCAGTGACCGATTCTTGCTGGCCTGTGCCACACATTTCAGTGCTTCTGTCTGCAAAGAAGATGGAGCAAGTATTATTTCTGGGGCACCCACAAATGTTGTTAATACTAACTATATGGAGTATACTGAACGTTAACAGGCAAAGTGGGAATATTCAGCACACCTAGTAAGAAATCCACTTCATACTGATGAAGAATTGGAATGTCGTAATGTTTGAGAATACAGAAGCAAGAGTCTGCGGTTCCTTCAACTGCAGTTTGACAAAATGATGCACATTTCAGCATTTCTTTCAGAACATGCAAATTTTGAAGTTTTTAGCCAGTTTAATATTTCTTCTTTTCAGTGTGCTGTGCTGTTAGTGGAAGAAAGACACCGAGACGTGTGACCAACATATACTGTCTATCATAGGTAGCATTCTTCACATTGGAGACGATCAAATCTTACAGGTTCCAGGAAAAGAGAAGAGCAGACAAAAAAAGGACTGAAACATTCTTTTATATTAAAATTAAGGACCACTATTTAGAAAAGGCTAAGATGCTGAAAAAGGAGAGCCTCCAACCTCTAAGCAGTGAAGGTCACAAGCCCCCAAGGCTGCACCATTGAGGGCTGCATGCTGGAGGAACTTCAATTCAGCCATGGACTCTGGCTGCTGTTGCAGGCAAGGGGGGGTGGGCAGCAGCTAGGCAGGAGCCTGGGGGCTGAAACTTAACCCTTCACAGGCTACGGGCAACCTGCAGGCCACCAGCTGGACAGCCCTGCTGATAAAGCATTTCTAAGCCTGGCAAGTTGCAAAGTATGCGACCTTCAAACCACATCATTACGACAACAGTTTGCTTTTCCTCTTCTCTACGTAATTCTGAGAACATTTTAACAGTCCGTCCCCGTCCCCCAATCGCATCAATATTTTGTAGTGTTGCCTGGAATGCAAGTTTTTGAGTAGTAAGAGCACAGGTGCATTAGTAGAGCAGCATAAGCCAGTGGCTATGGAATCTGGATTTTGTTGTTCCATCTGCTGCTAATTCACTGACGTTCGGACCATTCATTTGCCCTCCAACTCATTTTTCATACCTGTTAAATAGACCAATACTCTCTCAGTGGAATGGTGAAGACAACCTTTGAAATGCTCATATGCTATAAAAGGAGCCAGAGAGGTATCCAGATAAAGTGTTTTAACCTCTCATTGAAAAAGGTATATTGGGCCATCAAGTGTAGGTTTGCTATGTATGATTGTCAGGGGGAAGTGAAAAAGATGAGACTAGGACCATCTAGAAACTGGCCAAGGATAAGGAAGTTTCAATTCTAAAAAAAAATTCTCTCCTTCCATCCCCTCAGTACTTCATCTTAATGATCAGTATTTACCATTATCTCATCTCTCAGATAATCACCTCACAGACAAGTGCGAGGGCTTAGAATTAGCTCCTGTGCCACAAATGACAAATGACCAAATAAACAAATGACCAAAAGAACAGGGAGGATGTCACTGCTTACGTCTGTCCAGACTGCAAGAGTTCCTAGTTCATGACCCTCTATTTTAACAAGGTATGGTATGAACACAAACTGGCTGTTATTGCAGGGTCACTCCAATGTAGCAAAGACACCTGGTTTTGGTAATTTATAAGTAACCAGAACACCCATACAAGCATGTTAAAGCAGTGGCTGCCAACTTTGGGGCACGACCCAAATTGGGGTCACGGGGGATCCGCCCCTTGCTCCACCTGGCTCTCACCGCTACTGTCCCCCGTGATCCCAGCCCAGCACGGGCTCTGCTGAGCACGAGTGAATGGGCAGCGGGGGCAGAGGTCGCAACCCAGATTTAGGGGCTCAGAAAAAGTTTGGGAGCCACTGTGTTAAAGGAATGCTACCAAATTTAAAGAATCATAAGGAATTTGCATGTTATTAGAACAAGCCGGGCTTATTTAGATGGAAGATGCCAATTGCTGTTGTTCACCTTACAGTCCTCTGGATCTTGACTGTTCAATTCTACTAACAAGAAAAAAAAGGATTTTGAGGAACAACCAAAACAAGTGAGTGTAATTAACAACTCAGGCATCCATACATTTGATCCAAGACTGCCAGTGCAGCAGTCCCTGGAAAACAGAGAGTACTCAGCACCTACATGTTTAGACCCATCAACATGACAACTAAGAATTCAGCAGTGTACCAAAGCACTGGGAGAAGTTTAAATGAAGTAACAAGGGGCCAGATCTTCACTGGGTGCAAGTCACTGCAACTGAAATCAAGGGATGTCAGGTGATTCAGTAAGCTCAGGATCTGACTTGAAGTGTTTAGAAATATTAACAGCCAATTTCTTTAGTGCAGTGGTAATGAATACAGATCATTTAGAAAGTGTCAGGTACGAATGCATAATAGAATCCAGTGAGGAATCAACTTTTATCCTTTCCAGAGAAAATGAAGATAGAAAGCCTTAGTTTTCTGTACCTGTCTTCCTGCATACCGCAGAGCAAGCTTCCCACTCACTAATGCCTGGACATCCTCTGGGCTGGAGAGAAAGGGAAGAGTGCATTTAGCCAACAGTGAGTATTGCTATACTTCTCAATACAGGTTATTAGATTGGCCTTTCAACTGAGCCACATGCTTTCCGACTCTGATGCACATTTACACAAAGTACGCATCGAGAAGTCTTCAAGTTTTCCACTAAACCTAAAAAAACAACTTCAGGACTTATTCTACCACATATATTCTGGAAATACCAGATTCTTGAGATTACAGCAACAAATACAATGAAGGAATAAATAGCTAACTAAATTTGTCTGCTTCAGTTCAATTAGCTAAGAGATATATGGACAATTCCTTCCCAATTAAATGTAATAAAGTGTTCTTCCCAGAACTCAACTGCCACGTACGCGTTGAGCATGATTTTGCACAGCAACATGTATTTGAGTGCAGTGATGGCTTTGGGGTTATCAACTGAATCGTATCCTTCAAATGCTTCATAAAAATATGAATAGGCTGTTTTCCAGTCCTTCTCTTCTGCTGCATGGATAATACCTGTGAAGAGAACATGCAGACTTGAAGTCAATTCTGAATTCTCTAAAGGCAGTGAAATAACAAGGCTAACTAATGCTGTACATTGCACTTTCATTAAACAGAACATTTTCCTTTTATTGTCATTCTTTTAATTCATTTGTTTTAGGACAACCACATTCACTCTTCAAAATAGCGACTAGAGACAGATTACAAAACCAAGGCAAAATATACAAGGGATGTGTCTAAACAAAGCCACATTTCAGCACTTTAGCACTTGTTTTTTGTGGAGTTTCTTTTCTGTCTGATTGAATGACAGGAGTACAAGTTCCTTTGAGTGGCATTTGTAACAAGAGTTACAGACCTGCTGGATCTAAAGATTTCAGGGGTCTCGTCTCAAACTGTAGTATAAATGGTCACTTAAAATTTTTGCCTGGTTCAAGAGACTAACAATGACTATCTACTGCATAAGTTTATCACCATATTGAAAAAAGCAAGCCCCAGCTCCTGAACTGATAACAAGAAAAATCTTTAGTTTTTATTTGCGTAAGTTTTTACCTGTCATGGTTTGGAAGGTCTGGGTTATGTTTGTTATTCACCTTAGAGACTCAAGTGCCAGAAGAAAAGCTGAGCTATTTCAAAATCATGAATTAAATCACTCACAATGTGCTGTCAAAGCCATGATTCTGAATGCTCAGGTGTATATGTACACAGTACTGCTACTCAAAATATTACAGCAATATGTTACTGTTTACATTCATAAAACATGTAAAAAATTAATAAATAAATGGGCTAAGTTAATGAGCCTACATCAAAAACTTTGGGTTGCAGGCCATATCGTTTTTCTATATAAAAACAGCATGGGGCAAAACATCTTACTTCTGAGGTTCAGCTTTGTAAGTATGGCACAAGAGGTCATGTACTGCATTAAAGGCTTGATCCCAGTCCTCCCTTGCTTCTAGTCAAGATTTTTTTACCTGACTGCATGTCCAGTGCTGCCTGCAGTTTGGGTGGGCAATAGATTGCATTGGCTGTGGTCCGTGCAGAGGTTAAAGCTGCTCTTGCTTTTGGCAGATTGCTGAGGGCATGGTATGTCTTGCTTTCCAACAGCTGCACTTCAACCAGCAGAGCCTTATCATCCATCTTTTTCAACTCACGCAGAAGCTGAGAGCCTGGCCAGAAACAAGAACAAGAGCCTTTGTAACTTGCTCCAAATAGCTCCTCTTTTTGGCTAGCAGCAGCAATTCAAGGTCATTGTGGACAACACCCTCTTTCCCCAAAAGGGTGCTGTTTTCTAGGTATGCTTTCAGTGGCTCAGGGCCTAGAAGTATCCAGGGTGTTCATGCCAACACATTTTGTGGTTCCAAGAAACAAAAGGACAGAAAGTAGGACTAGACCAAACTGTTACAAAGTTGGATAAGCTCAAGGGAAAGTTCTGTATTCTAGGGCAAGCATTACTGATGGTGTAAGTAACTGTGGGCAAGCCGAGCACGGACATTTGCAGGCATAAACTTAAGTCATTTACAGCAGGTGGTGAGATTCAACCTGTCTTTATGAAAAGGTTATTTGGGTGACAGTATCAGATTCAGGACAAATCTTTGAGCAAATCTCAAGTGCTAGTCTGAACTTCACTTTCTAGAAGTGACCAAGGCTTCTTTTGACTCGCTTCCAAATTTGAGATGATGGGAATTTGTTTTTTAAATCATTAAGTAGTTATAGATTAAAAAGTAGATGCTGCACATCCTTTGCCTTATTTCTTGATAGGAAGGGAAGACCCAGGAGACTCAGATGAACCACCAGTTCAATGCTGCTAAGTACAGAGGCAAAGAGCCAGCCAGTAAAAGCAGCTTTTTCCCCTCCCTTGACCTCTGAATTAAAGAAATATCTTGATGTAAGAAGAGATAAAAACCCCATCCTATTGCTATCGAAACCAAAGCATGAGATAAGAGCTACAGCAAAAACTGCACCATCAGCTTGAAGAGAATTTACCTCCTCTTGAAACTTGACTTCTGAAGCCTGTTTTCCTTAACTCCTCTCTAGGGGCTACAGAGACCTATTATTGTCCCTCCCCCAGCAGCAGACAAATGTCACCCCTCGAAACACGTTATTTCCACGCTCCATATTCCCCATGTTCCATATGTACAAGGCTGAGCAGGATGCTGTATACACACATTTAGATCTATAGGTAATTATTGTTGCCTTTTCAAAAAGCACCTAAATGACTCAGCAGAAGTCTCTACTGACTTTCTATGGGCTTCTCTACATACACAAGTTGTGCTGGGTTATTGAAGTCAGTTGAATTAAAACATTTTAACTTTAATGTGCAACTCTCATCAGTTTAAAACTAGATAGCATACAGACCCAAGCTATGTTGATAAACAGATGCAGCTTTGATGTCTGAACTGTTTAACTAAACATAGAAGATTTCTAAAACCTTCTGCTCAGACCATGCCTAAGTTACACAGGTGACTTAAATTCTACTCCTACTAATCGGAAACCAAAGAAAAGCATAGTGACTTGAACAAAGTTATCATAGTGAGTGCATAGCAGAACTAGAAGAGAGCTCAGGAGTCCTGACTTCCATGCCACAATATCATGTTACCAGGACAAGGGCCTCCTAGATGTAGCAATTATTTTTGGCCTTACTAATACTTTTATTGATGGCATTTCTGAAAGGACCTAGAAGCATTAGACGCCTAATTCCACAGGTGCCTTGAAAAATATTAGTATTCTCTATTCAACTACATCTGATTATACTTTGCTTAAAAATCTAATTGAAACAAGTCTATGGTGCTGGCAGTGGAAAAACAGAGCTTTGATTCAGGCCAGAGGATTCCAAGTCTTTGACGCCATTAATTTACCAAAGTATATCATGTTACAAGGACAATTGGTCATTCCCCATATGCACCTCAAGCTTAAATTTGGAAACAATGAACTATCGCCACCTAGTGGCAAACTTACCTAGCTGCAATGCCTCTTGATACCTCTTAGTATCGAAATACAAAGACACCAACCTAGCCTGGAGAACAGAAAAGGAACTGCTTTGAGGAGAGTCAGAGAAAGGCAGCATAGATTTATTTTACAAAATGATATGGTATTCTTATTAATTTTCAGATTTCACTAATTTAGGGTGTACAATGCAACACACTAACCCCAGATGTTGTCTGGAAATTCTACAGGTTCTGAATAAAAGTTATCAAGCTCTCTCCTGTCAAGAACAATTTCTTGCCAACATGCCCCCAACCAGGACAACTAGCCTTAGAATAATCATGTAGATTTTCGTATACACAAAGACCTGAGCAGGAAATATTTACAAATACAAAATCCAGACAAGTAGAAAAGTTGCCACCAAATAGAAAGTAGATCCCCACACAGCCTACCTCCAGGGCCTGGCGCAGGAAAGTTCTCTTCTCAGATTTGGCCCATTCAATACACTCTAAGCACAGATCAACCTAAAGGGAGCAAAAAAATAAAATTTAAAGCCCTCTACCTGCAAGCAGAAGAGTAAGATCATATGATCCAGATTCGTTAAGTTATTCTCTCATATACAACAATGACAAAAACTGAAATAAGTCTGATGTGGATGTTGTAGCCCTGATGGTCCAGGAAATGTGAGCAAGGTAAGGGTCTGTGTGAGTAATATCTTCTACTGGACCTTCAGGTGACCTGAAGAAAACTCCACTGCATTCAAAAGCTTGTCTAAGCCTATCCCAACCATGCAGTTGGTCCAACAAAAGATATCCTTCTTACAAATTCTTGCCTCTCACAAAACTGAAATAAGATGTTTAAACGAATTTCTATACTACTGTATAAGGCAATACAGCAAGTTTGGCCAGGTAAGACAAAATACCTGTGCTTATCCATGTTGAACAGCAAGTTATCTTTTCTTGATTCATTTAAGATAATAAGCAGCAGCCACAGATATAGAATTTGGATTTTATCCTTGTATCTGCAGTCAGAACATAATCCAACATTAGATACAATCTGTTCTTTGCTATTGCTGATCAGGATACTGTACTGCATTGAAAAGAACAAGCAAAACTAAAACTTACTGTAATGTAAGCTTTCTATAGTCAAAACATGGTTATACTAAAGACAGACATGTCATTCTGACCCCCCTTTTTTTTAAACAGATCTGGCTTACATCTACCAGTCAAAGATTCTCTTGCACTGGGATACAACGATGTATTCTTCTGACATGCAAAAAATCACCAGCAAGGAGTTTGTTAGCACCTTGCTAATATTCCCCCTTAGAGTTGCTTTTTTGTTTGAAACAAAGATGTCTGGGTTCATCAAAACATGAGCATAAAAGAGCTGGCTTTTGAATTCAGCTAAAAGGGAAGTTGGTGACGGATAGGAGGGACAAAGCAGAGCTCTTAAATTAGTTTTTTGCCTCCGTATTCTTGAACCCGGATCTAGACAAATCTCCCAAATGCATTACTGACAGAAGCAGGAGAAACACCAGCTCACTAACTGTCAGTGCCGACCTAGTAGAGATATTTGGAGGGGTTGGACGTGTTTAAATCAGTGGGACCGGATGAGCTCCATCCAAGGGTGCTGAAAGAATTAGCCAGTGTCATAGCAGAGCCACTGGCATGACTGTTTGAGCACTCCTAGTGCTCAGGTGAGGTCCCAGAGGAGTGGAAAAGGGCCAGTGTGGTCTCTCTTTTCAAGAAGAGGAGGAAAGAGGATCTGGGTAACTATAGACCAGTTAGTCTCACCTCTACCCTTAGGAAAACGCTTTAAAAGATTATCAAGGATCACGTTTGTAGGAGCCCAGCGGGTAATACAATGCTGAAGGGCAACCAGCATGGGTTCATGGCATGTAGATCCTGCCTGACTAACCTTGTTTCTTTCTATGACTAGGTCACTAAAACTTAGATGCAGGAGTCAAGGTAAATGTCATCTACTTGGACTTTAAGAAGGCCTTCGACACTGTATCCCATCCTATTCTTATAAGCAAATTGAACGGCTGTGCCATAGACAATTACAATCATGTGGGTGGCGAACTGGCTTAAGGGTTGTACCCAGAGTGGTGGTGGACGGGTCGGTATCAACCTCAAAACGTGTGGGCACTGGGGTCCCCCAAGGCTTGGTCCAGTGCTGTTCAATATCTTCATCAGCAACCTGGATGAATGCGTGGAAAGCACTATGTCCAAATTCACAGATGACACCAAACTATGGGGCGAAGCAATGACACTGATGGGAAGAAACCAAATCCAGGCAGACCTGGACAGGTTAGAGAAGTGGGCAGAGAACAACAAGGACAAGTGCAAGGTGCTGCACCTAGGAAGAGGGAATCACCAGCATACCTATAGGCTGGGGGGGGGCAGGGGGAAGAACGACACAGATGGACGGGGACGGGACGGACACGACACGATGGACAGACACGACCTTCTCAGCAGCACAGCAGCAGAAAGATCTTAGAGTCACTGTCGACTCCAAGATGAATACGAGCCGTCAATGTGACGAATTAATTAGCAGAGCTAACCGCACTTTGTCATGCATTAGCAGGTGCATCACGAACAGGTCCAGGGAGGTAATGCTCCCCCTCTATCAGGTCACAGCTGGAGTACTGCATCCAATTCTGGGCACCACAATTCAAGAAAGATGTGGACAACCTTGAGAAGGTCCAGAGGGGGGTCACTCGTATGATTAGAGGCCTGCAGGGAAGGCCTTATGAGGAAAGGCTGAGGGACCTAGGCCTTTTCAGCCTCTGCAAGAGAAGGGGGGTTGGGATCTTGTGGCAATATACAAATTCACTGGGGGAGGGATTCGGGGGGGGGGCGGCGCAGGGAATAGGAGGTGCTCTGTTTACCAGAGCACCCCTTGGAATAACCAGAAACAACAGCCACAAGCTGATAGAGAGTAGATTTAGGCCATTTCTGGCCATCAGAAAGAGCTTCTCCAGTTAGGGCTGCCAGAATCTGGAAAAGGCTTCCAAGGGAGGTGGTGTTCTCCCCTACCTTAGGGGTCTTCAAGAGGAGACTAGACAAGCACTAGCTGGGGTCACATGACCCCACCACTTTCTCCTGCCACTGGCAGGGGGTCGGACTTGATGATCCTTTGACCCTAGCATCTATGAATCTATAAAAGGAAAACAGCACGTTTTAGGTACCAATCAAGTCCAAGCTGTTTGTGTGTGATAACCTTCATATAGTAAAACCCTTGAAAGCACACGTGAACTAGGAAGTAGTTCTTACTTAAGTTTTACCTACAAGATAAAGTTGGAATAAAAACTAAACCGCTTACTGCATTCTTTAAAGTTGTCCAGATTGCCCAGAGGAATAAAGAGGTTATATCCCATGCCAATTAGAACAGAACACACATTTCAGAGGGCAGGAGGTAGCACACTTTGCACACTACCCAAAGGTCACCAAAATGCGGTTGTCTCTGAACTGAAAGAACAGCTATTTAGCAGGTGCACTGCAAAAGCAGCAATTTATGGCTGTAGCAGTTGGCTGACTCTTCAGATTTGGGGGCGAAAGTTTCACAGAAGTCATCATGAGTTGACAACTCATTGCACTGTAATGTACACAGACGAATTAGGCCTGGAAGCAACTTCTGCCCTAATTATTTGCTTACCAGGTGACAGGTTGTACTGTAGGAAGTGATGCACCACCCCTCTTAGTGTCTAATAGAGTCTCTATGTATATATTGTTTCGGACCAAACAATACTCTACTTAGAAGTAATAATTCAGTTTTTGTGACTTTCCTCCCAACTCTGCCTTTTCTGATTATAGCGGTAAATATTTTGATATAATGGAGTCATCTCTTCCTAGGAATCACTGAGCGATATTCCGCCCAGCCAGAATATACTATTGTTTTGGCCCATGTCTTAATAAGAAAACCTCCGTCAAGTTTCCTTCAGAAAAGTCTCTCTAAATTCACTCATTCTCCTTAAACACCCTCTCCCTGTGTGTAAAACTCTATTCTCACGTTAGTCAAATTTTACAGTCAAATAGCACATGGCTGCTGATACCTGCCTGGTACACTCAGACTGTATCAATCACTCATCCAAGAAAACTGAGCCTGAAGAACAGAGGGAAATGAGATGTTTAGCTCAGACTGGGAAAGTTCCCTGCTGGAGAAATCTATCTGGAGGTAGAGCAGTCTTTTCATGGAAAAGTAAAAACTCCATTAATATGAAGCAGATAATGCTTGGCAGAGATACCATTAAAACTTACGGAAGGTATTAGAGAGGTAGAATAATCCTAAAAGTCAGGACCCATGGATTCAATTCAACCCTGATGCTGAGAATAATCATTGCGTCTCAATTTCCCCATCTATAATATGATTAACACTAGCCTCAAAATAGCATATTAACACAAAGTTTTTGAGGTCACAGCTAAAAGGTGATAAGCAGTATTCACAAAACTGCACCTATTTATTTAAACTCCATCTACCCTATGAGCCACTGAAACCTTGGCTATATGAAGACCACGGCCCTTGAATCAGGTATATTACACCTAGTGTTCCGCATTCTCAGTTTTTGTTTAAAAAAAAATCTGGGAGTTTTTTGAGGTTTACCAGGCTGCCCTGATGTTTGGGGGCAAGGGGGCCCATGTTGAGCAGCTGGGTGTAGCACCAGTCATGAGCAGTAGGTCCCGGCTCTTCTGCTTCCAGGGAATGGGCCACTCGTGCCGATTAACAGGGATCTGAACTGAAAAACGGGTGTAAATCAGTAAAAACTGAATGACTTAAAAAAAAAAAAAAACAACAACTGGTAAAAACTGAGGATGCAGAACAGTAATAACACCTTTCACAGAGCACTGCACACTGATAGCACTATGTAAATAGGTTGAAACTGCCTGCCCCACTACTTTCAAATTTGGTTACCCTTTTAAAGGGAAGGAGCACAAAGTCCCCACCTGAGCCAGAAGTTGAGCCAGCTGGGGTTGAATGGTGGCACCAGAGACAAAGGGTTCTGTGACCTAAAAGCTTGATCTCAGAATCCAGGAAGCTGTGCTCTGACCTGCTACAAGCAGCTATGCCTGGACTGGCTGACAGTCATATGACAACAGCATAAAGGTTGGAGATCCCTAGCGAGACTTCTCTGTGGAATCCATGGCACCAAGTTAAGAATTAGGGGTGCACCAATAAAGATTTTCTTGGCTGATACGGATAGCCAATTATTAACCAACCATACTGGCCAATGCTTATCCGATAATAGATTTACTGACATAAATAAACCTTTTTTTTGGTCTACTCCAGCAGCCTCCTGCATCATATGCATCAGCATCCTAACACTTAAAAATGGTGGTGGGGGCGCTTGAACTAAAGCTCATCGAATGAGTTTTAGTTCAAGTACCCCCACCACCCTTTTTAAGCACCGGGATGCTTTTAAGTGGAGCAGAGCCAAGCTAGGGCAGATGCTGGCTGCCCACTGTGAGCTTAGGGCTCTCCACTCTGTTGCCTTTGCCCCAGGAGCCCCACACCAGCCACGCACCCCCTGCCCACCTGGCAGCAAGGAACACAACTTACCATCCCACTTTTGCTACGTGGGCAGGGGGCATGCGGCCAGCACAGGGCTCCCAAAGGAAAGGCAGCAGAGTGGAGAGCCCCGAGCCCACAGCGAGCAGCCTGCATCTGCCCTCTCACACAAATCTGGGGGGGCACATGCATCCCCATGCCTCTCCTGAGGGGTGCGTGCAGCAGTGGGGAGATACCCCCCTGCCCCAGAAAAGCCGCCTGTAGCTCTGTCCTGATCCCTACCTTGGCCCCAGGTCCCATGTACTGCCCTGGCTGGGCAGCACCCCCAGCTCCAGTTCCACTCCCTCTCTCACTGTGGGGGCTTGCATCTGCAGCCCCACACACCACTTTCCCTCCCCCATGCCCCATCCCCTCCAGACTTACCCACTAGGAGCTGCTCAGCTGTATTCCTGGCCATGTGCATATATGCGGCACCCCCTGCATCTTGCTCCTGGGAGCCCCAAGCAGGACCCCTTGCAGGCTAGAAAGCTGCCCACCATTTCCCAAGGGAACCCAGGCATCCAGGGGCACCAGCCCTGGGGGGGGGGAAGGAAACCAGGTGTCCAGGACCCTGGCCAGAAGGCATAATTATTAGTAAACATTATCTGCTATAATGGCCAAAAAAAGCCGATAACCAATAACGTCATTTCCCTTTTCATCGGTGCCAATCCGACAGGCACCCGATATATCCGTGCACCTCCATTAAGAATTATTTCTGACCTCTTTTTATGAAGTCTTATCACACTAGAGAACTCTGTTTAATTCACATAGAACTATATAAGGCATACAATATTTCATTAACGGAATGTAATCAAATTAATTAAAATGAGCATGTCTTGTGACCACTTAAAAGTGACTCTTCAGTATAAAGCAAAAGCAAGCTAGGTAGTGGTACTGTGAACCTGAGGAATGAGCTCCTGTCAGCATTTAAAGGGTCTTACTTCCTGTCCAGTAGCTGCCTCCATATCAAGAAACAGATCAAGAAGAGATCGGACTAAGCGGGCTGCTTTTGCTTTGCTGATGGAATTCAAGAAGGGTCGAACGTATTTCAGAAGTCCTCCAAGTTCTGTATTCAGGACAAACGATGAAAAAACAACAATGAAAATAATGTTTAGGCATTCAGAAAACAACACAACAGTAGTCAAGTTATAATGGGATTTAATAGGCCTGCATTCAGTAATATATATTACATTAACTACTTAAATTAGAGCAATCAACAGTGTTTATAGGACATTGGGGTAAACAGTTCCTGAGGCAGTATGACTTGTGATTAATCAGGGAACTGGGAGCTAAAATTCCCAGTTTTATTCTCAACTGTTGCTGACCCATTTTGTCACCTCAGGCAAATCAGTCAGTTTGGCCATCTATAAAAGCCTGTGTAATAATTACCTCAAGTTTGTTTTAAAGCTCTTAATGTTTGCAAAGGTATTTGTGATTTTTGATTTAAAAAAATTATTGTTTACATTATTCAGCTATATTGAATATTAATTTACTGGTTTAAGAGTAAATTAAGTCTTCCCATCAACATCAATATGTGAATCACACTATCTAGCTGTTAATGTGGAGAAACGTATTAAAAAAAACAAACAAATCATTGCACACTTTCTATTGTATGCATTACTTGATTAGTTCTTACTTTGTTAATCCACTCACTAATTTGCCACCCTGCTTATTAGTTTTATCTGTATTTATGCTTGTATAAATAAACATAAGGGGCATTATGGAGCGAAACATGCCGAGACAGATCACTTCTTCCCAAAAGGCGATGGAATGTGGCAATGACAGCATTCGATCCTACACATTAACACCACAACACTTTCAGAAAGGAAAAAAAAGACATTGTATCCAAATGAATTATGTTGGGAATTCGGGAGGGGGGGGGGGGGGGGGGGGGGGGAGATTTACCAA